AGGTCACGTGCAAAAAAAATGGTATATGTCTTGGTGTCTAGCGGGTCAGTCACCTACCTCGACGTTGGACGTAGTAACCCTGGTAGGCAATCTGACTTCGTCGGATAGTGCGACGTCCGGGTCAAGGAATGAAAACGCCAAATGCCGTAAATCAAATATATATAAATAATAACATTTCTAGTCAGTGCCAGTCGTAATATATTCGCCGTGAATTGTTGAGTGTCTAGCAAGTCGGGTGGCCACGTTTAATAGTTTTTGTCGTTTATAGTAGTAGAGCGATTTAGAATCGAAACTCGGTCAGCTGATTGGGATTTCATTTCGCCATGGTACTCCGAAAAACACGGAAACGTTTTCGCGCATCGACATGATGTCAGATCCAAGGCCGTATCTAGAATTTTTTTTCGGGAGAGGTCCAAAACATGTATATTGTAATTTTATTGAATTTAGATTTTGATTTTTGATATTTGATTAAAAATAAGACAGAAAAAGATTTAATCTTCTTTTATTAAAATATAATAAAATCAAATAAACAAAATTACTTTTACATCTTGTCACCTTACACTATACAAATATGAAATATAAAATTAAGAAATAAAAAATGCACAAATACAAATCATATTATTTTAAACTAATAATATGTTCCTATCTTTTTGAAGAGCAAACTGGTTTAACACTTCATCGGGATTAACTGTAACATCTCTATGGACACTTAATAGAGCTAGTCCAGTTAGTCTTTCTTGTCCCGTAGAGTTCCGTAAAAATGTCTTGACGCGTTTTAATGTCGAAAAAGTTCGTTCGGGAGTTGCTGTAGAAACCGGTAGTGTAGCTAGTACTTTTAATAAAAAATGAATATTTGGAAAAAGTTCAGGATTACAATAATTTAGTGCTTCTACAGCTGTATGTGGAGTGTGGACGATCTACATCTTTGAAAGCAATCCATTTTCTTTTCCACAATTTTAGTTCTGAAGGTAATATGTCAACATTTATAAAATCTGAATTATACTAAAATGTGATTCTAAAATTGGAGATTTCAAACACATTTTTGGTATTAATAAATACAAAGACGATAAAATCGTCTTGTGTTTGGAAAACCGTTCTTTAAGTTGACTAATAAAATCATCATAGAATGGAATTGCAATTGCAATACGAAAATAGTCTTCAGGAATTTTGGTATCCACATTTATTCTATTTGTTGAACGACTTACTAACCTAGGTATTTTTATTTTTTCTTCCTCGTTCACGGATATGAACAATTGTTCTGATTTATTGAATATTTTTTTGAAATTTTCATTAATATTTGTTCGCATATCTTTCACTTCACTTAAAACAGTTTCAACATGATCTACTGTTTCACTTCACTTAAAACAGTTTCAACATGATCTACTGTTTCACTCAAATCACATTTCACCGACTGCAATATTTTACATGATGGCAAAGTTATAGAAAAAAGTGTGGTCGCAGTTATCATACTTATTATAAATTCACTAGTTGTTACACACTCATATAACTGTAAAGCTTTAGATGATGTTTCAATGTCAACAAATAATTGTAGTTCTTCTAATGTTGCAACAATAGATTTATATATTTCTGAAAATCTAAGCATACCATCATGATTTTCAACCCACCTAGTCTCACACATGGAAGTTAATTTTGTCCATTTAGTTTCAGGAAGAAATTATTTTATTTTATTTTTTAATAATTCAGTTCGTTTGGCCGACATTTGAATAAAATTTCCTACAGATTTTATTGTTCCAATACAATTTCGAATATGGTGAATGTTTGACGAATGAGCAAGTGATAAATTTAACGAATGTGCACTACAGTGGACATAAAGTGCAGTGGGATGTACTTCTCTTATAACAGACTGTACTCCTTTAAAATTACCACTCTTGGCTGCGGCGCCATCATAGCCTTGGCCAAGTAAATAGTCACATTTCATACCAAGATTTTTTAAAGTAACTAGAATTACTGTGGCCAAATTTTGACCAGTGGTAGAATTTACCGGTACAAATTGTAAGAAGTCTTCTTTCAATACATAATTGTTGATTTCATTTTTTTAATATTTAAATTATTGTCTAAATAACGTACACACAATGACAGTTGTTCAACACACGATACGTCAGTAGTCTCGTCGACTAATACAGAAAAACATTTTGCCGGATTAATTTTGTTAACTAACTGGTCCTGTATAATTTTTCCACATATATTTATAAAATTATTTTGAATCATAGGACTTATATATGAAGCATTTAACGTTTGAGAATCCTCAATGTGATATGTTAGATTTTTATCTTCAGACGAAATGCGCATTCTCAATAATGCTCGGAAGTTACCATCAATATAAGTAGGTTCAGAATTGTCTAAAGAGAGAGGTCCGTAATCGCTAGTACCGCGTAAAGCTATTTCTTGACGCCCACAAATAATAATTGTTTGAATAATAGGAATTAATCTCTTTTTATTTTGATCAATTTGAATAGCACGCGCTGAGTCTAATTTTTGAATAATATTTTGACAGTTTTTGGAATAAACAGCTACAAAATCATCTGCGCGCATAGCATTAGATTTGTGAAATTCAGTTTTACTATGTTCATAGTAATGGTCACATTAATGCACTATTACAAGATATGTGTGTGAATTTTAATAAATCGTCATTGAACAAATGCACCATGATTATGTCGTTAAAATCAATTGTATGTTTTTACAAATTATTTATTCTAACTTCACAATAACTACAATGTCAATTTTATAAATATTGTACAGCGATATAAAGTGTACAAAATATTATGAATATCGTGAGTAGGTACAGTGAAATTTACATATTAATAAACACAATACAAATAAAATAAAGTAAGTTTTCAACCATTAATACAGTCTTCATTAATTAACAGCGGTTGACAGTGATTTAGTATACAAAATGAATATACATATTATGAACATAGTAAAATTGCTTATGAATGTTAAAACCAAGAAGAAAGAAATACAACTCTTAGTAAAATGCCAATTATCTAAATATTGTAAAAATACAATATATTATATATTTATATACAAACAGTAGTAGTATAATAGTAATACAATTTACAGTGTACAATCTAATACTCTTTTAGGGAATAAAACAATTAATGTAATTATTACATTTTCCATTAATTTACAACAAACATAGTGAAATTGACTTATTAATGTTATTTACATTATAAAATGTTATTTAACAAACATACAAACATAGTGAAATTGACTTATTAATGTTATTTACGTCATATAATTTAGGTACATTAGAATCTTAAATTAATGTTCCATTACAAATAAAATACAACATTCAAATTAAATAAATTGTCTGCACTATCTATACAAATAACACAGACATTATATACATTGTTTGACATTAGTTACGGCTTCACATTATAGTGAATCCGCATCCAGAGAGAACCACGAGGAGGTTGTCAAACTTTCTCTCCGTTTAGCCCGAAGGCAAGGTCATCACGAAGTACCTCCACGGAGACCACGTAGAACAGCGGTGTAACGTATTAAGTTTGAAAAAACTGTTACACATGTTAGGGTTAAAGTCAACCAGACTATCATCGGGCGCATGTAGAACACAGACCAATATAACAGCGGTGTAACATATTATGTTTGAAAAATATGTTACACATGTTAGGTATCACATAATACCTTACCACTTACCACTTATTGCATTACAGAACTTCTCTGTACACGATGTTCTTGGTGACGAATCGCCCGCTGTCATCGGCGTGCATGCCGACTCTCACGGACTGTGCGTTTCTCACCCTCGAAAACGCCACGTACAGCTGCCCGTGAGTGAACAGGGGCGACTTCAGAAGCAAACCTACCCTGTCGAACGTCTGACCCTGCGACTTGTTGATGGTCATGCCGAACGACAGCCTCACCGGGAATTGAGTGCGCCGCATTGGAATGGGCAGGTCATCCTCACTGCTGGACGTGAGCGGTATCTTGGGCAGGACGATGTCGTCGTCCTGTGGGTCACCGCCCAAAATCCTCGCCTTGAATTTGTGTCGCCGCAGTGCCGAAGCGACCATATCAGACATCCGTACAGCGTAGTTTTTCCGGTACCTTCGAGTCTGTCGACGAAGAAAGTTCGCGACAACTCGCCTGAGTTTTCGACGGCCGCCATCACGCGGTCGTACACCGTTCGCTGTTCGGCGTTCAAGGTGTCCACTTGTTGGGCCCACCGTGCCACAGCGTCTATTTCTCGGAACAGCTCGTTGTCGTCCTGCAGCGATTCCAGTAGAGGGGGGTCGGCGGGGGGCAAACCGTAGTCGACCGAGGGTGACTTTCCGTGCCCGCGAAGTAGATCCTCGATGGCTGCCAGACACGCGGCCCTCGCGCGGTCGACGTCTTGGAGACGCCGTTGAAGTCCTCCATCAGGTACGCTTCGTTCGCCTCGTACAACGTCAGCGGTCTGACGGCAGGCAGTGCACCAGTATAGTGACGAACAGATACCGAAGTTGCCGCGGCGTGTCCACCAACGCGGATTCATCCAAACAATTCCGCCACGCTAGGTCGTCTTCCAATAGTCCGAGTGCAATCGCAGCCGCCGTGTATGTTCCGTGAACGACCCCGTCCACCGTCCTTATGTCTTGAAAGAACTGCGGGCCTCTTCAGTTCAGAAGTAGCAATCTCAAGTGGAAACGGTCCCGGTCCAGTGGGCTCACTACGTACATCCGAGCCAATGTACCCGCGGACGCCATTGTTTGACATTTTTCTGCCAGGTGTAGTGCATCGGTATGTCGTGGTACAAGTATTGTCGAGCCACCGAGTAGGTCGCGTTGAGCTCGAAGAACTGTGTGAGTTTCGAGCAACGTACAGCTTGGTTCTGTAGCCGTTCTTCTTCTTGGCCCATTTTTTGAGCCATTGATTGTACACATGTTAAAATATCATCACCAGGTGGCGATAATGCAGAGAATTACAGAAACAGGAAAAACTTTTTTTCCATTAATGTACAAACCATATAGGACGATCAATTAATGATACGAGATATAGTTGCACGCTGGCCTGGTTCGTCACACGATTCAACTATATTTTTCAATTCTTCCATAGAAGCAAACGAATTTGGAAATGGTCTGATTGTTGGTGATGGTGGATATGCAGTAAAAAATTATTTATTGACACCTCTATTAAATCCACTCACAAGAGCAGAAAATTTATACCAAGAGTCCCAAATTCGAACTAGAAATATTGTTGAACGATCCTATGGAGTTTGGAAAAGGAGATTTCCGATATTATCATTAGGGATTCGTTTGGATTTAAGCAAAGTAGAAGCAATTATTGTAGCAACTGCTGTATTACATAATATTGCTAATCTACAAAAAGAAAAAATACCAGTTACTACAAATGAAATTCAAGAACAAATCAATTTAGTAAATTCTGTCAACAATAATGTGACTAACGATAATATTAGAAATAATGCAAATGATAGAACAAGAAAGAATTTGATTAATAGACACTTTGGTGAAATGTGTTAAGTAGATAATCTACAACTAGATTTAATTGTAAAATTAGTTTTAAATGTATTTTGATATAATTCCATGACGAGGTTATGACTTTATTATCATTAAATATTTGTATTTAACTACTAAAAATATAATAATATATTAAATTAAAATTTTTTTATTACAATATATTTTAACAATCTGACTGCTGTCAACATTTAACATTCTTAAATTATGTGTACAATGTAAACTGTACATAATCAATAGTTTTAATCATTTATTATAAAATTATTTTTTTTATTCTAATATATAAACAGTCTTTTCTTTTTAAATTCACTTTTCTTTGTTACTATAAATTGATATATAAATATAATATATATATATAAACATTATAAACTGACATATTATAACTGACTTTATTATTTTAACAATAAAATTAACGTAAACAACATGAACAATATAAAATTAATTAACATGAACAGTCTTTTTTTTTTTTAATAACATAAGGTGATTTACTGTTTTAACTATAAAATTAACATGAACAATATTTTCTTTTGCATTATAATATTAAGATAAATTCAATTTTCTTAAATAACTTAAGTTTCTTTGGATGCCAATTCAGCAACCAAAATTTTTAATTTCAATTCGTTTTCTTTTCTTTTAAAAATAAGTTCTTCTTCCAACAGCATTATTTTTAATTGCATAAGTTTAGTTTTAGTTTTGGCTGCGTATGACCAATCTTTATTAGTATTAATAATGCTAGAGGGACAAACCGTATACAATGTAAATTCAAATAACACAAATTTAATGAACAAGCTAGGTAATTAATATTATCAAGCATTTTTCACAAATATATTTTAAATTATGTAAGAAACTCAAATCATAATGATAGTACACTATTTACTGTAATTACATATTTAATTCTGTATTCGATTAGTGTTTAATATAAGAACATAGTTATCTGACTAATATGTGTATCATTCTTGTGATTTTGGTTTTAAAAATGTTCAACCAACCTTGTTTGTTTTTTTGCATAAGCAGAACATTTTTTAGATTTCAGATTTTCTTGAGGGTTTCTTACTATATTTAACATTAAAGTAGCAAGAATATAATATAAATTATAATACATAGTATAATAATAATATATATTTATTTATTTTCTCACTTTTTAACTCATCATCTGAACCAGCATCAGAGATAGCAAATATATTAGGTGAATACAGAGTGTCTAAGCTTTTCTGGTGTGTTGTAGATGATAGCTCTGGAGAAATAGGCGTTCTCAATTTTGCTGGTGTATTATCTGTCCAATCTTCACCAACATCAAAATCTTTTTCAGAAGTATAGACAAATGACTCTTGAAATCCCTTGATGATTTATAATAAACAATTTATTAGGTATACAAATGTATTAATCCAATTAAAAAGCAGATAAGTATTTTACAAATTTAACTAACATCAGTAATATTTTCTTGACAATCAAATTCTAGAATGTTTTCATCCATACACTATAATTGAAATTCATTAACAGTATTTGTAATAATAATAATGTACGAATCAATCAAAATATTAATTACTTACATTACTGTCAGTTTTCTCATAATCCTGTACAAGCATTTCATGACTGTATGTATTTTGATCTTCAATTCTGTCACTGTCAAATGCTGACACTTTACCACTAAAAGCTAGAGGGTTCAAAGATCTTAGTTGTTCTTCCATAGGGGACAATTTGCTGAGTGCTTTTAATGGAATTGGAGGTCCTCCTCCTGTTACACAGGGTTTTGATTTCACATCTCGCAACTTGATTTTTAAATTTTCCTATTTTAATTTCAAACATTTTGGACTACGATATCCATTTAGGCTTTTGCAATTAAATTTATTTGCTAATGCTTCCCAAGTTTTATTCTTTAGGTTGGCTGTTACGGCATCTGTTTTTTTGTTTTCCAAAATATGTTTTTGACTAGCCACCAGGTCGACAAGAAGTTGCGGTTCACCGTCAATAAAATTTGTGGAGCGTTCACGTTTGATTTTTAATAAACTCATAGTAATAAAATTGTACTCAAAACTAACAAATACAACACGACAACATATAAAATAAATAGTATTCTAATATTCTATATTTTTAAAAGTGAAAAACTGTTAACTGAAAACGTCAAAAGATCGGAAAAAAATATGTCAGATAATGTAAGCGTATCACTCAAAATAAATATATCATGATAAAAGATAACAATTCATTGATAGAAGTTAGAAACATTTTCATATTACTGATGTGACTAACATCAATCAATGCATTTTGGTAGTTAATTAATCTTCGGTTTGTTATACGCTAGAATAGTTAATCTTAATATAAAGATATTTGATAAAATCATAATATTTTTAATCTACAGTTAGTAATTATCTGAGATTAGTTAACTAGACATTTAGCTGGTTTTGGTAAGTGCGAAATACCGCGCGATCGGCGAGTTATTCAATATCCGCGCTTACCCAAAACGTCTTGACTCTTGGTCAGAAGGAAAGGTTACCAAGTCCGCGTACACGGAACAAACTAAAAAGTGTAATTGTTGTCGGACGCGTTTGCGTCGCTAAATAATTTATTATGTATAAAAAGGTACAAATATAAAACACATATAATACTGCCGCTCATACGTAGAGCGGGTAGTTAAATAATTAAATAAAACGGTCGTATTCGCTCGTTAATCGTTTCGCGTCGATAAACACGGAGCGCGTTACGTGCGATGCGCGTAGGTCGAGCGTCGTGCGAGAAGAGAGAGAGAGGCTCGGGTCGTCGGCGGCCCGTCGCCCGCGGGTGTCGAGAGCGCGGCCGTGCGGCCTTACAAAGAACATAAATATAATTTCACAGAGGTCGTATACCGAATTGTGTGTGACGAACGAATACAATACAAACGTGATCGCGAATATAATATAATTCACAATGCCTTCGCGCCGTTTCGCGAGTGGTGATAAGCCGCGTATCGACACATGGTGATTGATAAAACGGCTCTTAACTGAAAATAAAATTTAAATAAAAACTGTTAAGACGTCATAATAATGTATAATAATGTATGTACAAATTAATGTATTAATCATAACAATTTTTCTACGTATACATTTTAAGAAAACTTACCAATAAACTTAATGTAGGTACAAATGTTGTGCTTTTATTTATGTATTATCAAGTTTACATCACACTTCATAATATAAACTTAAATACATATATTTTTGATTGAAATACCAAATAAAATACATAGATATATCCCAAATTACGACTTAGGTATAATGTAATTTTAAGTTCAATGGAATATTTTTGACAAACTTTATGATTCAACAACTATTTTGTTAGATATATTATGCTATTAAAGAAATTTAAACTGTCTGTCTACTTATAACGGTCTACAACATAAACTAACTATACATATGTATAGTTCAATTATTAATTACATTATACATTTAATATTTAACTATTTAAGTAATAGTGCTAAGCTGCATGGCCACATGGTTTAGTATTTTACTATACAAGTTTTGAAGTTTATTATCCGTATTCAGTTTATTACAACCGACTGATTTTTCTGTACCATTATCATTAATTAATTAATATGATATAATATTTTAATCAATTCTTTTATCTTATAAGACCGTGGTCATAGATAATGATAAAGGTATCGCCAAATATCGGTAATAGTAATAAGATTATTATTGTTCTATGGTAATATGGAACAAAAAACAAAACGTAGCATTGGTTAAATTAGCATATAGGTGTAATGTACATTCAATTAATCAGGTTCAAAGTACAACAATTTTATTATCAATATGTTTAATGTTAGGTACCATAGATAGTTAGGTCGAACGGTATAGAATTTATCAGTTAAAGCTTCTGGGCTTTACAAATGAAAATTTTCCAGCGGTACCGACTTTCAACTACCAATACTTTGAGGAGCTGTATCTCTCAAACCAATTAACAAATAATAAAAATGTTAACGCGTAAATTCATAAAAAAAATGGTTTTATTAATTCATGATCTTTTTATTATATGTTACCATTTGAAAATCAAAAGTTGATAGTGGTTTCACCAATAAATATAAGGGTGAAAAAAATTAAAATAGTATAAAGTTTTAGAAAAGCATAAATCTAACAGTTTAAAAAAATAAAAAACAAAAAAAAGTTAATACTTCTCGAGATAATTAGTGTACCCACTTAAATGGATCACCCTGTATAGTGATAACTACCAAGACGTGTGAAACAGGGGTTGGAGGCGACTCGTATTTAACCTCGTATTTAGAGGGGAGGTCCAACGTCTTAAAAAGGGGTAAAACTCGAATTTTTAAAAAAAACCGGTACATTTTCGTTAAATACGATAAGGCGGAAATGATAGTGAAAGGTAAATTACGAAAAAAAAACGAGAAAAAAGAAAATTCGATTTATCACGGCCGCCGCAAATTATCGATAACCCCGGCGCCGGGTTCGAAACCACGACCCTCGAGTCACCTATTCTACCGCCTACACTACCTAGCCACCTACTGAGATGAAAACCTGAGTCTAATATATGACTCTTAAGCCGCGTCGCCATGCTCGCGAGAGGCGAACGCCGTTTGGACGGCCGTCAAAGGGCGTTTGAGCGGGCGATCGGACCACGTCGGCGAGCGGACGACCGGCTCCGTCGACCTCGGGCGTATAATAAGCGAGTTATTAAAAGTTTAACAGTGTTTTTTTCTAGTTGTTTAAATATGTCAAGTGATGACAGTAATGACACAGATAGAGAACAACAACAACCTCACATGGTAAAACGGAGGAAAAAATCATACCAGCATAAATTTTGTGCTAGTTGGCTGAAATTACCAGAGTTTAAATCTTGGTTGACTGAAAGCAAGAAGGGTTCGACATTTTATCATTGTAAAGTTTGCAAAGAGGATCATACAGGAGGTATTTCAGCCGTACGGAAACATTCCAACTCGAAAAAACACATTCAAGGTATGAATTCGATAACGAATGGTCTGCCAATTAACCAAGTTATTCAAAATAGCCGCACTGTGAATTTGGATAATCTAACTAAAGAAGCTGCCATACGGGTAAGCGTGTTTATAACAGAACACAATATATCGCTAAGGACTTCTGATAATTTGGTTCAACTGATTAAAGTTCTATGTCCCGAGTCTGAAACTATTAAAGCATTAACTTGTAATCGTACAAAGGCTACAAGTATTGTCACTAATGTGATTGGCAAATATAATTATGATGATGTATTAAGAAGAATGGCTGTTCAAAAATTCTCTTTATTGATAGATGAATCAACTGATAAAGGTTCAACTAAGCATTTAGCTGTAGTTGTACGAATGGTAGATAATTTGAGTTTAAAAGTCAGAGATGAATTTGTGTCTTTAATACCTGTCTCTGATGCAACGGAACAAAATATTTTTGATGTTTTAATAAGTTTTTTTACCAGCAATAACATTCCTTTTAAAACAAATTTAATAGGATTTGCATCAGATGGAGCTAACGCAATGTTTGGACATAAACATTCGGTAAAAACCTTATTAGAAAGTGCTATAAGTGGTTTGTTTGTCATGAAATGTATGTCATTCCCTTGCTCTTTGCGCCTCATATTCTTGTGAGAAAATACCGAATGATGTTGAAGACTTGGTACGTGGAGTTTATACGTATATGAAATATAGTTATAAGAGACAGTGTGAATTTTCTGAGCTTCAGTGTTTTGTTGAAACAAAACCCAATAAATTATTACAACCGAGTCAAACAAGATGGCTATCTATTTTGTCTTGTGTAAAAAGAGTAATTGAACAATACCCAGCACTTGTACTTTATTTTCAAGGCCAGTATCTTATAGATAATAAGGCAAATGAAATTTATTCCAAATTATCTTATCCAATATATAAATTATATTTATATTTTTTAGAATATTGTTTACCTATCTTAAATAATTTAACTTTAGAATTTCAATCACAGAAACCTAAAATACATACTCTGTATTCTAAAATGGAATCTGCATATAAAACTATATTAGAATGTTATAAGTTATTTAAAGAACAATGATATATCTGTAGTACCGTATAGAAATCCAGCTCATTATGTTTCTCAAGATAAGATATATTTAGGAGGTAAATGTAATGCAGAATTAATTACCGCAAATATTTCCCAAAAAAATAAAGGTATTTTTATAAATAATTGCTTGAATTTTTATGTTGAATGTAGCACACAAATATATAAGCGTTTCCTATTTAACAGTGACCATGTCAAGGGTCTTAAATATATGTCATTTATTGATCCTAAAAAATTAAAGAATGTAATTAGCATTACTCCTGTCATGAAATTTTTCAAAGAACAGTTTAAAAATATTGATTTAAACAGTTTAGATCTTGAATGGAGACATTTAAGAAATACAAACGTAGATATTTCTTTAGAGATAGAAGATTTTTGGGCTAGTGTTAAACAAATACAAAATGGAAATGGATCAGAAACATTTCCTCTTGTTAATAATTTAGTATTTTATATTTTAACTTTGCCTCATAGCACAGCTGCATTTTAGAGCATTTTCAGCACTGTTAATTTAAACAAAACTAAATTAAGGAATCGGTTATCTACGGATACTTTAAAAGGAATTTTACATTCAAAAAACTTATTAAAGAATCAAAGTTGTTTTAATTTTGACATCCCTCCTTCAATGACTAAAACATTAAATAATAATATGTACAAATAAATGTTAAGGAATAATTTTTTTTTTAAAAACTGAAATAAAAAATGTTTTATTTCTTTTTAAGTTAAAATTTGTCATTATTTATTTTACAAGTATTGTGTTTATAAAAAGTTCCTTATAAACATTTAAAGAATAATTTATTTTGTTACAAAAAGAAACAATGTTATATTTCTTTTTAAATTAAAATTTGTCATTACTTATATTTGATTGTATTGTGTTTATAAAAAGTTCCTTATAAACATTTAAAGAATAATTTATTTTGTTACCAAAAGAAACAATGTTTATATTTAAATTAATATTTGTTTTTATTTTGTAAGTTGTAAATAAAAAGTTCCATTAT